TTTTTTATTTTACGTCTTTTTGTAAAGTGATAATTTCTCATTGGTATTTTGGTAAATCAAAAGTTGTAAACGTGTACTTGGCGCAATTTATTACAGTGAAACTGTTTTTGTTCAGATAAGATGTTGTTGGCGGTAAAAGATGGCGGTACTGGCGAATGGAGATATTTTTCGAATTTTATTCACTAAAGATCTCATCGATGGGCAGTCCGTATGTCATACGGAAATTATTGGGTGCACTAGAATTGTCATAAAAGCTAGTTCTTTCCAGCCTGACAACATAGCGGTTATATATTATACCAGCAGAAAATAACCACTATGCAAATTTAAGCGATGTCAACATATTAACCGTTGTATACTGAGCTCTCGTAATATATAAACTTATCATCAATAAGTTACCCGTAAAATAGTTCATCTGTACTTTTAGTAGTCATCAGATATTGCCAGCCAAATATAATGTTTAAGGTAATTCATTCTATAAGATTTTAATGACTTAATGAAAATATGTCAACTTGATTCGGAGCATTTAGAATATTATAACCGGCAGATTTTATTCAGATTATTTATTTATTCAAAAAAAATTGACGTTGAATATTTCAAACAATTTAATCAACAAAAATATTATATATAATTTAGACATGAAAAATGTTTTTAAACATTCTAGTGTTATGATCATTATTTATCGTTAATACATATATATTTACGAGTGCACGGAGAGATAACAATAAATCTTATTCCTAAGTTAGAATGATAATCATTACTATATACATAGTAAAACGACAATTTTTGTGAGAATCCTATGTAAATTTAATTTGCTGATAAAAGTCTTAAAAATTATATTAAAAATATGAACAATCACTCTGATTCGATTTGGAATTCAATTCTGAAAATAATGTTATTGTTTTTTTTTTTATTTTTTTTATAAAAATTTCAATTTGTTAATAACAAAAAACATAAACAAAATAAAAAATCTCAGTTTTTCGTCAATAATTCAATAACTATAGGTGATATTAAAAATTGGAAAAAAAAAATATCCTTAAAGAGGAGGAAATTTCTGAAAAAAAAGTCTCGAATCCCGAAACTCTAGCTAGAAATACAAAAATTTTTATTTAATGTTGAAAATAAGATTCCGCGTGGTTTTTTTCACATGGATGCACCGATTCTAAAATACGACAGCAGTTGAATAGTTATTATATGGTATAGTTAATAAGTTACTTACGAAAAAGTGGAATTTAAAATTTAGTTTATAATTTTTATTAATAACGAATTGAAATTTTTATGAAAAAACGAAAAAAAAAATCAACATTATTATCAGAATTTACTTCCGCATCGAATAAGTGATTGTTCATATTTTTATCACAATATCTAAGATTTTTGTCAACAAATTAACACAGGATTCTAACAAAAATTTACATTATTATGTAACATAGTGATGGTTACCATTCTAACATAGGAATAAGATCTATTCTTTTTTTTCAATGATAATTAAGTAATAATTCATCGGAATGAATTCTTAAATTTTTTATTGAATACAAAATTAAAAGAGATTCCTTAATCATTTAATAATACTCAAAAGCATACTTAAATAATGTCTAAACTTTAAATTAACATAATGTAATTTAAAAATATTTTAGAAAGAATGAATTTTTTAAAAAACCTAATTTTTCAAAATTATATTTATTTTTATTTTCTGTACTGACAGATAATTTAACATTTTTCGTAAAATCGTTATATATTAGTAAAAGTAGATTTTATTTTAATTTCTGATTTTTTGCAAAATTGAAAGTTTTTTAAAAATTAAAATTTTATTCAAGATTGAAATTTTTATTTTTATAAGAATTTTTCTCAAAATTATTTTCAATATTTTTTTCTATTGACTAATGGAAGTATAAAAACATTTCAACTATATTGACAAATGAGAATATAAAAGAACTGGAGAATTGGAATTATTTTATTGAATGAAAAATTAATTTGATGACGAAAATTTTCTGTACTCAAACCACTCACTTCTTTAAAAAACGAATTAAAAATTATTGGTAGGAACGAAATTTGAATTGTTCTTAATACTTCTGAATATTTTCAGTACTCTTAAATTATTTCTCTAATAAAAAATTAACAATGTTAATAGTTTTGAATTCTATTTTTTTGCTGAAAGATTGAGTCTATTACAGAAATATTTTCATTTTTTCATATTAATGGATTATTATCCATAGATTCAGGATAGCGAATTATAAAATTAAAAAATTTTTCACTTTTTATGTAATATACAATTGCCTACACGCCCATATTGACTAAGAAAAAACATTATAACGGCATATAGTTAGATTAGCGACACACATTCTCTCAATGAGAGACACACTTTTTTTTTTATTTTTTCACGTGTATACTTCAGAACTTCAATCATTTTCGGGCTTAGTCAACTTTTTTAATTTTTTCGTAAATTTCTCACGTTATTTTAACATTCTTTACAGCTCCTGTAAAAAGTTAGCAGACACCTACTAATTCAATGTCATTGACAAATATAACGGCAGAAATTTTCTATTTACTTTTCATTGCCTGATTATTAGATTATAATTTTTCATACTAGCCATTGGCGTGTTCCGGAAGGACATCAATCAAAATTTGTTTCTTAGTCGACTCATATCATAATTACAATTATAATCAATAACAATAGTCATAAACACATTATTATTATTATAAAAATTTATATATTTCAGCCGTCTCATATGTTCGCGCGCTCAATCGGATGGCTGCGGTGCTCAAGGTAATTGGTCTATAGATGGACGATTTTCTTTTGTTGAAGATAAAGATGAACACTGCCATGAGAAAGAACCAAATGGCAAACGTGATGCTAAATTTTTCGCCGCTTTGTATACAGCCACTCAGCATCAATTTCGACATCTTCGGACTATCTATGGTGAAGTAGCGCTACTGTAAGTATATTTACTTATTTCTATGCAATTTTGGACTGTTAGTTTCTAAACAAACTTTTCAATGATTCCACATAGATTATTTGTTTGAAACCTCACAATTACGACTTTTAGCTATACTGCTTTGCAATATAATGAACAATTAATATTTAGCCACATCATTGTATAATTAATTATGAAAATCGAACAATAATTGTCTTCTGAAAATGTTTTTCAAATTATATTTTTGTTTATATTATAAAAATAACGAATTTAAAAATTTATAATTGACTTGAGAAATCAACGACCATTTCAATTGCCGAATGGCTCTATTATAAAAGCTGTACGTACTAAAAAATGTAATGCCATAATAATAAAAGCTTATATCTATACTGATTTATTGTCATAATACTGAATGATATGTGTGGTTTGCCAACAGCTTTTGATTAGGGGGGTATTCTAGTCTAGAAGCATGAATTTCAGGTAATTTTTTGAAGTGCTGTAAAGAAAAAGGCAATCAATATTTTTACTATACATTTTTTTATAAGTTATTTATTAGCATTACGAGAATATAGAAAAAAAAATATAAAAATTAAAAAAAGTTGAAAATTAAAAAAATTAGCAGCTGATAAATAAGTAAATGTTAACTTATTTTAAGAAATTTTGCAGAGTAATAGTTAAAGAGTCAAGAATTGGTGATTTCAATCAATTTTGAAATCCTTTTAACGCTTTTTTTCTTATTATGATTGTACTCTCAATTATTTTTATAATAATATTAATTGTAATGATTTTACAGACATCAAGATAGTGCTAAAGATTATCCTTTTGACAGTGTAAAGGCAAATATGGAATATTATCAAAAATCCAAAAAATTACCAACCATAAATTCGCAAAAAGATTTCCAGCAAATGTTAACAAACGCCAAGTACGCTGATATATGTAAACATAATAGAGGAAAAATAAATACAGATTTTGTAGCCAAATCATCAATAATTTACAGAGATAACAATTTAATAAATGCTTTAGACACAAATACACTTTTTGTTGAGTCATCGATAATTGTTTTGCCAAAAGATTTAAAAGCTGTACAAATTACTTGTGTTGGAACACATTATATGGATCATGTAAGAGAAATATTTTAAACGATACTATGATACAACGCTATAGTTTACAATTATTTTAAAATTGATTTTTTTTTTTTTTTTTCCAGATATTTCCAATGATTTGGAATGTAATTTCCACCAAATCTACAGATAGTACCAAAAGTCTGGTGCAGAAGTGGAAATCTTTTAAATATGTATTTGAACCTCTTCAAATATACTATGATTTTGATAATGATTATTATCAATCTTTGAAAGACGTATTTCTTGAGGCTGACATCAAAGGTTCATATCTATCTCATTGTAAGGCAAGTACTTCTGTTGATTCAAAATTTCTTATTTTAAAATAAATTAACTTATCTATATATTTATTTATTATTCGTGCGCCATCAATTTATTACATTGATTTAATTTCTGCCATTAAGATCGTTTGGTAGTAATATAATGAACTTATCAGTTTAAGAGTTGTTTATCTTGTCGAGTACAAAAATTTTTAAAATCGTGAAATTTTGAAATTTTTTTCTGTCAAAAATATATTAAATATGAGTCTTTTCGTTGTAATCCTGTTAGTTTTGAAGCATAAACATTTATATAAAATCAACCTGAAATTTATCGATTGACAAATGTAAGTTATTTTGAAGATTATGGCCTTGTCTCTTTAATAACATTGTAAAGAATGTTCATTTCTTTTCTTAAATTTTATTGTCATATCGAAAATCTATATATATAAAAATCAATTGCTGTGCGTTAGTCTCGCTAAAACTCAAAAATGGCTGGACCGATTTTTAAAATTTTTTTTTTGTTTTTTTCGCTATAGTTCAGGGATGGTTTAGAAAAAAAAATTTTTTCAAAAAACCCGAAAGTTCAGCTAAAAAAATAAAAAAAAAATATAAGAAAAACGGTTCACCCTAAAGGCCATCCGTGCAACTTCCCGCTAATTCCATTCCTGGGCGCTTAAAATTGTACTTATGACATTTTTGAGATTTTTGAGCTCAAAATATAATTTATGTGATATTTTGAGCTCGCTGAGTTCAAAGAAATAATATTTCTATGAATTTGAGCTCTCCCAGCTCAAAAGTCTGATAGAAGTTTCATAGAACACTATTTTTGGAATTTTCAAACCGCAATAACTTTTGAATGGATCAACCAATTTTCACACGGTTGGCGGCATTCGACGCAGTTTTATCATCCTCATAAGTTATTTTTAGGTTTTAATTGATCGAACCAAAAATTTCGGAGTAATCCCGAAAAAACACTTTTTTCAGTTTTCTTTCGTTCACGATATATCTTGAACGAATCAACCGATTTTGACCAGCTTGGTGGCAATCGACGTGGTTTTATGATGTTAAGAGCTAATTAGTTTTTGGAATCGATCGGTAGAGCTGTTTGTAAGTTATTCTAAAAAATGTCGGAGTTATGTTGAAAAAATCCTTATTTCCAAATATTTTGTCGAGGATATCTCTCGAACTAATCAACCGATTTCCACGTTTTTGGCGGCGATCGACGCGGTTTTTTAAGCTCTGAAATTATTCTCTATCATCAAAAACGATCCGAGAAGAAATGACAAAGTTATGTGAGAAAAACACTTTTTTCGGTTTTCTTTCGTTCACGCTATCTCTCGAACGAATCAACCGATTTTGACCGGATTAGCGCCGATCGGCGTGGTTTTTCAAGCTTAAGGGCGGATTAGTTTTTTAAGTTGATCGATCGAGCCGTTTAAAAGATATTCCAAAAAAACCACTTTCAAAAATGATTTTTTTCTTATTTTTTTTGAGATTTTTCTAAATTTCTTAAAATCTATCGGTCCGAATCGGTTCAAATTCTCAGGAAATCTAAGTTTGGTGAAACCCTTTCGAATGGCACCAACCGCGATAAAATCGGTTCAACCGTTCAAAAGTTATAAGCGATTCACATACTTACACACACACACACACACACACACACACACACACACACACACACACACACACACACACACACACACACACACACACACACACACACACTACACACACACACTACACTACAAGAGATACTGCTACCGGGCGCGTCTACACACACACACACACACACACACACACACACACACACACACACACACACACACACACACACACACACACACACACACACACACTCATACACACACACACATACATACATACAGACATAGTGACAACCTCGCGGGGATAGTCAGGGAAGCTTCCTGTGACCTTCAAACGTCGAGATTCGATGAAAACTCGATTTTTGCAAAACGGGGTGAAAACAATAACTTCCCGATTTTTGAAAATCTGAGATTTTTAGCGGGAAGTTAAAAATTAGGAAAACGGTTGACCCTAAAGGCCATCCCTGCAATTTCCCGCTAATTTCATATTTAAGCGCTCCAAATTGCACTTACTACGTTATTGAGCTCTTCGAGCTCAAAAAAATAATTTTTGTGTCATTTAGAGCTTTCCGAGCTCAAAAATTTGGTAAAAGTTTAATAAAACACTATTTCTTAAATTTAAAAACCGCAATAACTATTGAATGATTCAACTGATTTTCACGCGGTTGGTGGCATTCGACGCAGTTTTTGAGGCCTCATAAAGGATCATTAAGTTTTAATCGATCGAAGTAGAAATTTCGATGTAATTTCGAAAAAATATTTTTTTCTGTTTTTTTTCGACAACGATAACTCACGAACGAATTAACCGTTTTTGACCGGGCTGGTGGCAATCGACGTGGTTTTTTGATCTTAAAAGTTGAATAGTTTTCGGAATTGATCGGTAGAGCCGTTCAAAAGCAATTCCAAAAAAACCACATTTAAAAAAATTTTTTTTTGTAGTTTTTTTAAGATTTCTCAAAATCTACTTGGTCAAGCCTTTTCGAATGGCACCAACCTCGATGAAATCGGTCGAGCCGTTCAGAAGTTATGAGAGGTTTACATACGCCCCCCCCCCCACACACACACACACACACACACACACACACATACACATACATACATACAGATATACGGACATCATCGCGGAAACATTCGGGGAAGCTTCCTAGGACCCCAAAACGTCAACGTCCGTTGAAAACTCGATTTTCAAAAAACGCGGTGAAACCAATAACTTCCCAACTTTTGAAAATTTTCAATTTTCTTAGCGAGAAGTTAAAAATGAATTGCTGTGCGTTCATCTCACTAAAACTTAAGAACGGCTGGACCGACTTTCAAAATTGTTTTGTTCGCAACAGTTCAGAGATAATTCAGAAAAAAAAATTAGGAAAACGGTTGACCCTAAATGCCATCCCTGCAACTTCCATACCTAAGTGCTCAACAATTCACTTATTTTTTAAGCTCTTCGAGCTCAAAAATATAATTATTGTGTAATTTGAAGCTCTCTGAGTTCAAATGAATCGCTGTTCTCTGCTTTTGAGCCCTTCGAGCTCAAAAGGCTAATGGAAGTTTTATATAACACTATTTTTTGAATTTTCAAACCGCAATTACTTTTGAATGGTGCGCGGTCAATTGATCCGATGACAATTGATCCGTGACTAGGTCGCTGACTTATCGATGCGACAAATTTAACTACAAATTAAAATTTGTTATTGCCGTAAGATGGACGGTGGTGTTTACTCATGTCAGGTGTTAATATGTGAGTGAATAGTAGTTACGGACAAGGTCTCGGATAGCTTAACTGGTAGAGCCTTTGGCGCGTAACCGAACGATCCGGGTTCGATTCCCGGTCCGGGCTGTCCGAATTATATTTTTTCAGTCACTAAACAATTCCTACTGAGTAAAAATAGGTCCCCCCTTTCCCTTTATCCTTTATTCGCTTAATTCCCAAATTTGTCACTGACATTATGACGCTGATTTAGCATCGCGGATCAATTGTCGTCGGATCAACGGTCGCGTAGCCCTTTTGAATGAATGAACCGATTTTCTCGCGGTTTACGGCATTCAACGCAGTTTTTTGGGTTCTTTGAAAAATCTTTAAGCGTAAACTGATCAGACTAAAAATTTCACAGAAATTCTGAAAAAAACATTTTTTTCAATTCGACAACGATATCTCACGAACAAATCAACCGATTTTGACCGGGCTGGTGGCAATCGACGTGGTTCCATAAGGTTAAGGGCTGATTAGTTTTTGGAATTGATCGGTTCAGCCGTTTAAAAGATATTTCAAAAAAACGAATTTTTGGAAATTTAATTTTTGAGATTTCTCAAAATTGATCGACTCAAATTCTGTTAATTATCAGAATTATAGGGGCAAATGAACTCTTCAGAACGCCGCCTATTCCAATCGAATCGGATAATCCGTTCAAAAGTTATGAGAGATTTACACACATACATACATACATACATACATACATTCATACAGACACGGTGACATCACCGCGGAAATAGTCAGGAAAGCTTCCTAGGACCTCAAAACGTCGAGATCTGATGAAAACTCGATTTTCGAAAAACGGGGTGAAAACAATAACTTCCCGATTTTTGAAAATTTTCAATTTTCTTAGCGGGAAGTTGAAAATTTTATTAGAAAACCCGACAACAGTTCAGCTAAAAAAATCATTATCATCAATCATTATCAAATAATAAAAAAAATATAAAAATAAATTGCTGTGCATTAGTCTCACTAAAACTAAAAAACGGGTGGACTGATTAAAAAAATTTTCTTTTTGTTTTGTTCGCTATAGTTCAGGGATGTTTTCAAAAGAATAAAATTTTGCAAAACCCGTAAGTTCAGCTAAGGAAATCAACAGATCTAAAATTGTTATAATCGTCTATAATTTGTATATAAGGACAAAAAAAACTCATAAATTTAGTGTTGATTTTTTGTGATCTTGAATTTTAGGCAATAATAAGAAGCGAATTTCATTTAATTACTTGACAAAACTTTAACTGCACTTTATACAGACAGTATTTATTCTTTATCAAAGTAGATTAGAGTTTAAAAATTGACAATTGCTGATAGAAAGGTGTAACAAAATAAATTGTAGGTGATATGAAGTTCACCGGGTCAGCTAGTAAGCTATAAAAATAATAAAATGTAGAAGTCCAAAATAAATTACAATTAAAATTTTGTAGATTACTTTAAAAATATTTAAGTCACATCATCATAATAAGAAGTAAAAAAAATAAAAAAAAAAACCATTCAAACAACAAAGAAATTACATTAAGTAATGTATATGCGAGAACATTATTGTCTAAATAACTAATATTTTCATTTTAGATTATGACAGACGAAGCAATCCAGTCCGAAATTAATTTAGAAGACGATGTTACGAGAAAAATTTTTGCCAAGATAGTTGCTTTGTCATTGTTACCGGCTGAACAAATATCGTCGGCGTTCATTCGGATAGCATTGTCTTTGGACAACCAGCAACGTGAAACATTCAAAGATTTAATGAACTATTACATAGAAAATTGGATGGGCAAAATCGGTACAGACAAGTATAGTTTTTATAAAGATAGAGGAAGTTTATATAAGAACATGGATTTGATTTTTAAAAATTTATACAACCTTGCACCGAAAAATTGTACTTCGTGGGATTTTCTGGGTAATTATATTACATACAATTTTTGTCATGTTAGTTTTCGTTGTAGGTCATTTAATAAATATAATGAGCATAGTAGCCCATAGAAATTAGTCAGTTTTACCCAATTTGGCTGTGCCAACTGGAAATTGATCGAAAAATTATAATTTCTTGAAATTTCGATACCAAGTAGGTTAAGATGAAATTCTAACAATAAATAACATTAAATAACAGGTTAACAAAAAAAAAAAACGTAAATTAAAACTTAAATATCTCTAAAACTATTAATCTGGCGGGTAAAGTTTTCACATTAAATTTGTATAGCTTAAAAAAATCTAAAACATTGCTTTTGGATAAATCTCCGTCAGACTGATAGTTTATTAGTTATTAACAATCGAAGTTTTATAAATAAATTGAGCTAGCAAGCTGAAAAATCAACCGATTTCATTGTTGCTTTTTTCCACATATTTCTGGTAATAAAAAGAATATTTTTAATGTTTTTCAAAATTTTTATCTCAAAAATTTGATTTTTAAAAATCAAAAAACCGCTTTTTGTTGGAAGCCAATAGCTCCGAAACTAAATTTACTACAGCACTCGCACCTATTCTAAAAAATCTAGAATTTAATTGCGAAAAATTAGACTATTTTGAAAAAAATTAATTTTTGATTGGGGTCGAATAGTAGCGAGTTGAACGCGAGCGGATTTTCGATAAAGCGAGCGCGTTCGCTACCCGGACTAATGGTAGAGAGGGAACTCAACAGTAGTGCTCAACTGACATCGGCTCCCCAAACACGGTACAACTGCTTGTTACTTTGTTACTTTAGTTTCGGAGATATTGGCTTTCAAAAAAAAAGCGGTTTTTTGATTTTTAAAAATCAAATTTTTAAGATAAAAATTTTGAAAAATGTTAAAAATGTTCCTTTTATTGCCAAAGATATGTGGAAAAAAGCAAATATGAAATCATTTGATTTTTCAGCTTGCTAGCTCAATTTGTTTATAAAACATCGATTGTTAATAACTAATAAACTATCAGTCTGACGGAGATTTATCCAAAATCAAAGTTGTAGATTTTTCTAAGCTCTACAAATTTTATGTGAAAAACTTAATCCTTCAGATTAATAGTTTCAAAGATATTTTAATTTTAAATTTTATTTAAAGATTATTTAATTTTTAATTTACTTTTTTTTGCTTACTTGTCATTTTTAAACAAATTAAGACCGCCATTAGATACTTGTTAGAATTTCATATTAACCTATTTGGTATCGAAATTTCAAGAAATTATAATTTTTCGATCAATTTCCAGTTGGTACAGCCGATTTGTCTAATTTCTGTGGGCTGTAGTTATCGTAAAATAAATTTTACTTAAGAACATTAATTAAAAAAATAATTTTTGGCATGATAATTTCTAAAATCAATTAATATTATTTATTTTCAAAAATATTGTAAATTTAAAAGGTATTCGAAATAATTTATTAATATCTCTTTTTTTTTTGTTTCTATATTTCTATATATAGAAAGGGTTCTCGCAAGCTGTGAGCAATGCCATCTACATCGAAAAAATTATGTAAAAAACAAAAAAATTAACTGGAGCAGCAACAAAATAAAAAATTTATTCAGCTCAAAAAAAAACTGTTCTGAAATAGAAATTCTGTGGGACAGTATAAAAGAAGATACTGAGCCTAACAAAATTGATGATTTTTTGAGGAAGGCTGCAGCGTTGACAGTCCCAGTGATAAGAAATCTAAAATTCGCTGGTATTCATCTTTCTTCAAAATTTGAGCTGGTTAAATTGGTGGAACCCACACAACCAGGTGAGATAACTTTAAAAATTATAAAATTTTATCAATATTATTAAAAAAAATTTTTAAAAATGCAAAAAAGGTTTGGTGAAATGTTATTAATATTATTGTGATAATCAAGGATTTAAAAAAAATTTCAAATTGCTCAAGCAAGTTTGATGAAATTTAAACTATTTAGTAAAATTCTATGAAATCAAGCCAAATCATTTTGAGTTTAAAATTTATTTATTCCTAATTTGATATGAATAATTTTGTTTTTAGTCATAAACTTGGAGGAACTATTCCGTCTCCGTGAATTACCTCGAAATGTTGAAGATTTATTTGAGGATCAAGTCCACGGAAACGATGTTTATGAAGAAAACCTACGTCTTATCGATAATCCAGACGAAGTTCATGAAATGAACCTAGATGGTCCCAATAATCCAAGCGACAGCGAATCCGAAGAAGCTTATATGTAATCAAAAGAACAAGCGAACGAAGCGCACTTCATTTATGAAATTAAAATTTAAAAAGTACTTCAGTAGCAGTGAAAGTATTGAAATGCTTTTAGTTCGCAGCATCATATAGAAATATGAAGTAAATTTAAAAGAATTCTTTTTTATTAATCAAAAAAAAAATTAAGAAAGATAAAAAATTTATTTATAATTAGGGAAATTTACATGTTGATGAAAGTAGTGATATATAAATAACATAAAAGTGTTTCCAAATTAATAATTTGCAATGCCAAGATCTCTGAACTATTGAGATTTTTTTAAATTGATAGAATTTAATGTTTTACAACTTTCTTAATTTTTTTGTTTTCAATTTTTTTATTAAATCAATTTTATTTTTTTTTGCAGATAATGCCAACAACCATCGAGAAGATTACAATTTTACCTGGAAGTAATCGATGTAAAAAGGAAAATTATCAAAATTATTAAGTAATTTAAGAAAAGATTAATAATTTTTAAGAAATAAATTTTATGAGGAATATGTTTAAAAATAATTTATAAAAAATAATAAAAAAGAAACAAATAAACAATTGAATTTCGATGTATTAAATGATTTTATCATAGTTATAAAAAACCTCTCTCAGCTTGCTTAATTGAAATCATTTATAAATTACTTTTCTAAATAGCCTAAAAATTGATCTTGACGTCGAAAATTATAATTTGGAGGCCAAAGTTAAAAGGGAACACCACTATGACGATCGAAAAAAAGAGATAATTTTCGGGAATTTTTTTGACAGTGAAAATAAAGGAATTTAGGAATGGGGTTTTTTTTTATTTTTTATTTTATTAAGGGTACATTAAAGATTATTACCTTAAATTTTTATTATAAAATATTTAATTATTAAAAAGTTATTAACAATCTTGTAGAGCACTAGAAAAAATTTCCCCCTCCATGGTCGGTTCGATAACTCAAAAACGGATCATCTGGAAATAAAAACCAAAATTGCTTTTTAATTAGTGAGGATGTAGTTATCGTCGCATGTACGGAATTTGAAAAAAATTTATTTTAAATATTTTTTTAGCCGGGTTAAACAAAAAAAAAAAAAAGAGTAAGAATAGTGAGAAAATTTTCAATCCATCGCCATTTTTTTTTAAATTAATATTTTCAAAATTTTGATGGAAGGGGGAATTTTTTCTAGTGCTCTACGAGATTGTTAATAACTTTGTAATAATTAAATATTTTTTAATAAAAATTTAAGGTGATAATCTTTAATGTTACCTTAATAAAACTAAAAAAATTCGATTCCCAAATTCCTTTATTTTCCCTGACAAAAAAAATTCCCGAAAATCATCTTTATTTTTCGATCGTCACCGTGATGTTCTCCCTTAAGTGCATCAAGGATAATTTTTTTTAACTTTCTTTCGTATTTTTAACTCTTTATGCTCTTGAATTATGATTTCGTTTAATTTCCACAATTTACATTTATTGGACTTATGATGCCATCTATCGGTTTATATTGAATCTACATTCCCATTCCCGATGACGATAGTTTCATTTGATATGCACGGCAAGAGTTATGCCTTGAAATAACTAAAGTTGGTATCATTGAGGACTTGAGTATATTGTACGCCTGTTACAATATATATACGCAATGAATAACTTAAGACACAAACTTACGGTGGCTACAAATTCTGATGTTATCATTTTCGATGGTAACATTGAACTACCGACTTGAAATAATTTTAGAATAAAATGTTACTAGAATAAAATTTGCCGGTTATAATATTCTAAATGCTCCGAATCAAGTTGACATATTTTCATTAAGTCATTAAAATCTTATAGAATGAATTACCTTAAACATTATATTTGGCTGGCAATATCTGATGACTACTAAAAGTACAGATGAACTATTTTACGGGTAACTTATTGATGATAAGTTTATATATTACGAGAGCTCAGTATACAACGGTTAATATGTTGACATCGCTTAAATTTGCATAGTGGTTATTTTCTGCTGGTATAATATATAACCGCTATGTTGTCAGGCTGGAAAGAACTAGCTTTTATGACAATTCTAGTGCACCCAAATTATTGAGATCTCCAAAACCAATTCGAGTTTTTCTTGAGCAATAATAATAATAATAATAATAATAATAATTAGCAACTCGCAATCAATGTGTGCGCCCGAGAAAAAATATTTATATAAAATCATTTGTATAATTGCATGCGTTGGTGTAAGTCATCTCTTAACTCTTAACACGTCAAATTTGTAAGTATCTAAACAAACTTGTTATAATTATTATGTAAATGCAAATTATTAGTGTAAAAATATTAAATCAATCGTAAAAATTTTTTAATTTTTATTACACATAAATATATGTTGGAATTATAGTTTCTGCCTTATCCACTAGTCTAGTTTGTCACTTGGCCGCAAGAGAGCAGTTCAGTTACTCTAGTGGTGTTGATACAAGCTCCCTTGTATATATATATATACTACTACACGATTAGACTTATAGTTAAAACATATTTGCCACGTTTTAGAATAAAAACAATCAAAACTAAGATCTACTTTGGTCTAACATCTTCAGAACCATCTAATTAATCCAACAAAATAAATAATTACATAAGTGTTTTAAGGAAAAAAAAACGTTTCGCTAACTGATATATATCTAAGCTACTAAAAGCAAATATATATATTTGTATTAGTTTTCTATAACCTAAACTTAAAAATAATAAGAATAAGTACATATAGAATTATTGTTACAAAAAACAAAATATAAAATTTAGGTAAGTCATAGTGAAAGCTTGATTGGCACGACAAATTCACAATAAACTGTTTATTTAAATTTATGTAGTAAATGCTAATAATTTCCAGTTGCATCTGTTCGAGTTGATGTATATATAATCGAAAAATAAATATCAAACCTTGTTCAATTGATGATGAGTTTGCTAACAATACTAACAGTGTCAATTAAAAAATAGATGTCCAAGAAGTCTTTAGTTTCCTAGAGGATGCAAGATACTGGTAGATCATATTGAGATAATATTTATTAAATGTTTCTACAAGTGTTTAGAAAAATTTGAATTTAAATATGCTCATCAGATGCCGGCTCACACTGTTGAGTGAGCTACAATTTGGATTAAATGTTTTTATTTTATCAATATTAGTTGATAATGATCGAACGCCAGCTTACATTTCTATGTAAGTTAATGATATTGAAGTTAGCAGTCACTTGACAATTCTTTAATTTTTTTTTCAACAAACAAATTTTCTCTGAAAAATTATTTTAAAAAAATTGCATTTTTTATTTTTTTAAATTTCTACATGTCAATTTAAAAAAAAATTTTTTTTGCCATAATATATTTGTTACAAAAATTTAATGAATACCTGCTAAATTAATTTTCATTGTGAGTTATAGTTACACTGAAAAAAAAGTTTTTTTCCTCCTAGAAAACTTTTCCCTGTGGTTAAAAAAAAAGTATTCCTAAAATAAGAATACCAAAGTTTACTATCCATAGGAATAACTTTACTGGATATAAAAAAACTTGGTATTCTCATTATTAAAATACTACAATCAATATGGCCGACTTAACCTCGCTTGGTCGACACGAATCTTTAGGATAGATAATTATGAGAAACTATACTTTTTATAATTCTTCATTTATAAACAATTTATCACACTAAAATTAATAAAAATGGAAAATAGTATATTAAGCCTTTCTTTTCTTATTTTTAATTCTCATTGTTGTCAAAAAATTGCAATTTCCTGCTAATAGCATTATTTTACTAATTTACTAATAACAATAACAATAAATTTTTATATTTGATCAAGATTTTTAGATACTTTAGGGAAGCATCGCCATCTACTTCAGCTGAGAAAAAAATTTTCTCACCTTGAGAAAATTTTTCTGTTGAATATTTGATATTCATTTTATATTATTTTAGCGTGCAATTATACATATTAAATGAAGAAAAATAATTCAATGTTATTTGATCTTCCCATTTGACATGTTAATCAATAAAAATATTAATGGTATATAAATATTTACTTCTATCGAGATATTTAATTTTTTGAAGCAAGAGAGAAATTTTCTCAAGACAAGAAAATTTACTTCTATCAAGAACTAAATTTTTTGAAATAACTGGGTTTTCTACCTTATTATAAAAATTGATTTATAAAATGATAAATTGATTTGCTAAAATGAGTTATAAATTTGTTGGAGATGATAAATTCCACTCTGGCAACTTCTTTTGCATCCAAGAATCCATATAAGTAAGGGAGTAAAGGGAAGTAATATTGATGATTAATACTTTTATTTATAATTTATAAATTATTTAATTTACAGAAATAAATATTTAGGTAACTAGACTCAGGCACGAGGTAAACTAATAACTAAAAAACACGCGTACACTGTAGATTGGAGGGAAATGACAAAATAGTGGCGCCATCGTCACGGTTGCTATGGTAACATAGAATTTAGTTTTAGTCCTGTTAAAAAACTTGGTATTCTCAGATTTAAAATACCAGTTTTCTTAAATCTAAAATATTTAACTTGACTTTTACTTCGTACAAGAAAACTCGACTAAAAAATATTCAGTATTCCGGGTATAAAAAAACTTTTTTTTCAGTGTAGGCTAAAATCATTTTTAATATTATCTCAAATTAGGCCAGATCATAAGCTTCAAATTAATTTAAAAATATTAATAATTATTAATATTAAGTCTAAATGTAAGCTCATCGATCAGATGCCAGCTTACATTTTTAAATGAGCTATAATGTGGATTAAATATTTTTATTTTATTCCATGTTAGGCTGGATCATTAGTTATAAATAAATTTTCTATGAAAGATAATAAAATTTTTGATAAAGTATATTATATTGATCGGATACCAGCTTACATTTTTATGTAATTTATAATTTGAGCAGAATTTATTTAAGTTTTATTTTAAATTAGGTCAGATAATTGAATGTGAATTTATTTTATATCACAAATGTTGTGTTTTTTTATTTTAAAACAGAAGTGAAGAATAGGGTGATTATTTTTAGAAATTTCGTTAATTTGATTATTAAAGAATATTCATTTTTTGATTAATTATTTAAAAAAATAAATTTATGAGTAACGGAATCGAACTTACCGACTCTTTTTCATTGTTAATGTAGTTAGCTTCATAAAAAGATACCCTGATGATAGCCAGCGCTTTCTCAGTAAGTAGTTGACTTCTAATAGCAACTACGGTTAACTTAACATCAAGTTGGCGGTAATTCTTTACTCAACAACAGTTGTAGGCAAATTAACGGAAATCTACGGCCGCAACTTGAATACAAATTAACAATCAAACTTGTAATTAAATTTCCTTTCAACTTTACTACAATTTGATAGAAATACTTATACAGCAAGTTTTGATGTCTATTTGCAGAGTAAGTTATAGGTAACTAATAGAATTAATAGGTAATCACTCGCTTTGCCAACTCTTTCCGTCAAGTTTACTTCAAATTGCAAAATTGCGGACGTAGATTGACAGTAAGTTATAGGTAAGCTGACTATCAGGGATAACGCTATATTCCTGATAGCCACCCAGTTGGTACAAGCGAAACAAAGTTCACTTAAACCTGCGGCCGGAATTTGACGTAAAGTTTATGCTAACAGTAGAGCAACAGTTGTACTTATAACTGTTGATGTGAAGTTAACGTTAACTTTCTGCAACTTCGCGTTAACTTTGAACACTTGATGCGTAAGTTAAAGTCAAGTTTTGGGAAACTGTTGCAAATGCAGAGGTTGGCGCGAAGTTAACGTAAAGTTGACATAAACCATTGAACATCAACTTAGTTGATGGTCAACCCGTGCTAACTGGACACCTTAACTCAAACTTTTATTCAATCTACTGCCGAAATTTGTAGCCAACTTGACGGAAAGAATTTACAAACCAAACGGTTTTAGTTAAATTGTCTAAAAGTTACTCTGCAAATTAACGTCAAGACTTGCAGTGCAAGTATTTTAGTCGAGTTGTAGTAAAGTTGAAAGGAAATTTAAGGTAGTACTACTGGTTTTAGAATTGACATTCAGAATTTGATGAAACTTGGCATATAGGTACATAATAGTATCTTAATTAACTATTTAAATTTTTAGAGGCCTACCGAAAACTGAAAAAAGATATATTAAGGGGCACAACCAGTGTGACAGCCTAAAAAAAGGCGATTTTTGGGAATTAAAATAAAAAACTGTATGAATTGTTTTTAAATTTTAAGGGTATATTAATACATATTTTAAGAATGCACAGTAAAATTTTTGAAGAAAAAAATTAAATATTTTCCAAGTTACACGCGATCTCCGACGGCGCTAAAAAAAAAAGGTGCTGGAGTGATTCCGGCCTTCTCCGTGGATAAAACCAAAAAAAAAATTTTTGTTAAACTAGAAGATATTATTGTCCGTACGATGACCCACGGTCGAAAAAAAATATCAAAAATTGACAAAATGGCGGCGTTTTAAAAAAAAAAGTTGAATTTTACCCAAAATTTTGGTCGTTTTTGGCCTGACATTTGACTCTTGTGGTAATGGTAGTAGTACCTTAACTAAAAGTTTGGTGTTAAGATATATTCAAATTGTGGACGTAGATTTTCGTGAATTTATTTACAACTGTTGTACTGTAAAGAATTACTGCAAACTTGATATTAAATTAACTGTAACTGCTGAAATCCAACTACTTTTAAATAAAAGTATGGCTATCAGGGATACTCTTCATTTCTGTTTAATATTTTTTTCTCACCCCGTCAGATGTCATCAATTGTGGTGGCACCTGAAAAAACATGGTGACCCCCATGACAAATGTTCTACTATATATCGTTAACCTTCAAGATAAATTCAAAAATTTATTGATTTTTCAGAGTCCAATACTAACGAAAAGACGGAACAGGAATTGTCAGGAATTGTGAAAAAAATTCAGAGCAAAATGGGGGATTTGGGATTATTTGAAGCTATCAAGCGTATGGACCTCAAAGCTGTTGAATGGTTCATTAATAATGGAGCAAATGTAAATAGTAATAGAACTAACGTAACATCATTATTTTTTGCTCTTGAAGAATCCGGTGATAGTCGAATAGTTAAATGCTTAATAAACCACGGTGCAAATGTCAATAAAGTTGCTGGTTATAGTAAAACAACACCACTACATCTTGCAGTTGAAAAATGGACTGATATTTCAATAATTGAATGTTTAGTAAACCATGGTGCAAATGTCAATGCGGTTGATTATAATAAAGAAACACCATTACATTATGCTATTAATAATAAAAAAAGTAAAGAAATTATCGAATATTTAGTAAACCACGGTGCAAATGTCAATGAAGTTGCTGGTTGTTATAGTGAAACAACACCACTACATCTTGCAGTCGAAAAATGGACTGATATTTCAATAATTGAATGTTTAGTAAACCATGGTGCAAATGTCAATGCGGTTGATTATAATAAAGAAACACCATTACATTATGCTATTAATAATAAAAAAAGTAAAGAAATTATCGAATATTTAGTAAACCACGGTGCAAATGTCAATGAAGTTGCTGGTTGTTATAGTGAAACAACACCACTACATCTTGCAGTCGAAAAATGGACTGATATTTCAATAATTGAATGTTTAGTAAACCATGGTGCAAATGTCAATGCAGCTGATAAAAGCAAGCAAACAGTTTTGCATTATGCGGCAGAGAGAAATTTGAGTGTGATTGAGTTTTTAATTTCTCATAGATCTAATGTTAATGCAATTGATTCTTGTAAAAGAGCACCATTACATTCAGTACTCAGTAATCATTTAAATTGCTGTGAAGCAGTTAAACATTTAATTGATAATGGTGCAGATGTTAATGAAGTTGATTCTGAGGGGACAGTGTTACATTATGCTTTGAAACGACGCAATCTCAGTGCAGTTAAACTATTGATTAATCATAAAGTGAATGTTGATGTAGTTAATTCTGTGGGTCAAACTCTATTGCATTTAGCTGCTATCTGGAATTCCAAAGATGAAAAAATATATGAGCATTTAGTTGAGCACGGTGCGAACGTTAATGCAGTGGATAAGTTGAAGAAAACACCCTTGCACTATGCTACTAAACATTGGAATAACCCTGAGATTGTTAAGTACTTGATCGAGCATGGAGCTAATGTCAATGTAGTGGATAACATTGGGTTTACACCATTGTGGCAGGCAGTCTATAGTGGAAGAAGATTCTTCAAGCCTGTTAAATATCTAGTTGAAGGCGGATCAGACATAAATTACAAGAATGAAGGAGGTCAAACACCGTTGCATTTGGTTGCTAGCGGAAAAGGCTGGTTCGAAATGATGAGATTTTTAGTTCCTCGTGGAGCAGATGTCCACGCAGTTGACAATAATGATTGGACACCTTTACATAGGGCTGCTCATGATTCAAAAGATGTTAGAATAATTGAATATTTAATAAACCGCGGTGCAAATGTCAATGCAGTTAATAAAGATAATAACACACCATTACACCTGGCTGTTGAAAAATGTCCTGTTTTGCATGACGTAGTAAATTATTTAATCGACCGTGGAGCTGATCTGAATGCTATTAATAATGAAAAGGAAACACCACTGCATGTAGCTGCGCATCGTTCCGGCAAAGAAGCGATTGAATTATTGGTGAATCGTGGTGCTAATATCAATGCCAGAAACGGTATTTGTAAACCTTTGTTGATTTCGCTTATCGAAAAGTGTAAAAACTTCAAAGAGATTGATTGTTTAATTCAGCTTGGGGCAAATGTTAATGCTGTTGATCATCAAAATAAAACACCCTTGCACTATGCTAGTGCTAAGTCCTACAAAACTGAGTTAATGAAAAAATTGATCCAGCGTGGAGCTAATGTCAATTTAACTGACAATGATAAGAAAACACCTCTACACAATGCAATTGAAAAGGCTTCCGGTAATGACAACGCAATTTATTTGATTGAACACGGAGCTGACATCCATGCTGTTGATCATCAAAGTAGAACACCTTTGCACTATGCTTGTGCTAAGTCCTACAATACTGAGTTAATGAAAAAATTGATCCAGCGTGGAGCTAATGTCAATTTAACTGACAATGATAAGAAAACACCTCTACACAATGCAATTGAAAAGGCTTCCTGTAATGACAACGCAATTTATTTGATTGAACACGGAGCTGACATCCATGCTGTTGATCATCAAAGTAGAACACCTTTGCACTATGCTTGTGCTAAATCTGATTGTACTTACTTAATTGAAAAATTAATCAAGCGTAGAGCAAATGTCGATTCAACTGACAGTGATAAGAAAACACCTCTACACATAGCAATTGAAAATGGTTCCCGTGGTTACGACCACGCCAATTATTTGATTGAACACGGAGCTGACATCCATGCTGTTGATCATCAAAATAAAACACCTTTGCACTATGCTTGTGCTAAATCTGATTGTACTTACTTAATTGAAAAATTAATCAAGCGTAGAGCAAATGTCGATTCAACTGACAGTGATAAGAAAACACCTCTACACATAGCAATTGAAAATGGTTCCTGTGGTTACGACTACGCCAATTATTTGATTGAACACGGAGCTAACATTCATGCTGTTGATCATCGAAATCAAACACCTTTGCACTATGCTAGTGCTAAATCCAATAGTGTTATTTTAATTAAAAAGTTGATCGAGTATAGAGCTGATATCAATTCACCTGACAGTGATAAGAAAACACCTCTACACATAGCAATTGAAAATGCTTCCGAAGATTACAACAACGCCGAATATTTGATTGAACACGGAGCTAACATTCATGCTGTTGATCATCGAAATCAAACACCTTTGCACTATGCTAGTGCTAACTCCAATAGCACTGAGTTAATTAAGAAGTTGATCGAGCGTGAAGCTAATGTCAATTCACGTGGCAATGATAAAAAAAACATTTTTACACAAAGCAATTGAAAATGCTTCCCGTAGTTACGTCATCGCCGAATATTTAATTTAAACTTCACCATTAAACTTCACCATTAAATTTCATAACAAAAACAGTTTCACTGTAAAAAAATCGCGCCAAGTCCACGTTCATAAGACTATTAAGAAAAAAAAATTAGTTTTTTTCTTTACAAAAAGATATAAAATTAAAAAATTAAAAAATCCAAGTAACCGATATGATTGTTTATGATTTTCGGAAATTAAAAAAAATTTGTTGTAAATTTAAAAATAAAAAAAACAATTTTGGAACGTACTTGGTGTGCGTCATATTGTGTATTTCAATTTTTTTAAAGTCCTAGTAAATACATTTTACGAATTTAGTTAAAAGTAAAATATTTTGCAACCGCGCACACTAAATACATTCCAAAATTGTTTTTTTAATTTTTAAATTTACAACAAAATTTCTTTTAATTTCCGAAAATCATAAACAATCATATCGGTTACACGGAAAGAGCAAGATGACACTGGATACCATCTCAGATTATACTCAGTGACATCTGAGGTAAAAAAATTTCAGATGTTAGCTAGTATAATCCAGATTATACTGAATAATATCTGGATTATACTCATTGTAATCTGGATCATACTCATTGTTATCTGGATTATACTAGTTACTATCTGAAATTTTTTTTCACTCAGTATTATCTGGGATTATATCCAGTATAATCTTGTTCTTTCCGTGTACTTGGATTTTTTAATTTTTTTATTTTACATCTTTTTGTAAAGAAAAAACTAATTTTTTATTCTTAATAGTCTTATGAACGTGGACGGCGCGATTTTTTTACAGTGAAACTGTTTTTGTTCGGATAACATTTAAATACATCTATATCAACTTACAGAAATAAATTATGTTATTTAGAAGAAAAACATGCTTACCGTTTGCGTAACTTATAAACAGGAAGAGATTTTCGTTGTTGTTGTAAATTTAACGTATTCTTGTCATTTATAAGCTTATTTTTTTTATTTGTTTCTTTTTCAGTTATTTTATTATTCGACATTTCGCCAAAATTTACAACGGTTGGTTTTTTTAGTGTAAGTTTCAAAAAACTTATACCATTTATCACATTGTATTTGGAATCAGCATTATCATGAACACCCATAATTCACCTAAAAATTTTAATTACTATGAGATAATATTTTTTAGAACAAGTTTAGTTTTACGAGTATAACACAAGCACGTGTTGATTTGAGACTGACAGCACAGCTGTTGCATGCTTATAAAACACCTGTTTACATGGAATTCTTCGCTTTATGAATATGTGCACATGAAAACAGGACTTAAGTTTTTTTGAATTTTCGTTCACTAAATTGACACTTAAATATCAATCATGAGTTGAAAATCAGTCAGTAAATATAAATAATCTTACATCTTTTAAAGAGATTGAGTAGTGTTGCAATATTGAATGTCAGAAAAAGGCTGTCATTAATATACAGGGATAGATACTAAGAATAAGTATGAAATAGTATTAATAGTAATGAAAATTAAGTTAGCTGACATCTGAAAATTTTTAGAATTTTTTTTTTATTGAAAAAATTATCACAAAAAAAATAAAAAAAAAAAATTTCATTTGTAAAAAACTTGAAAAACTGTAAGTACAATTTTTAAAAAATATTTTTTTGTTCTTATTTAATTAATTAAAAAAAATTAAAAAGTTGGCTAACTTCAGTATCATTAATAGTATTGTAATGCGACTGTGATATGAAAGATGAGGTGTGTAAAAAATTAAAAGAGAATAATGTAAATAAATGTAAATAATTAAGATACAGTTTTGTAAAATACAACATGTGATACAAATAAAAACGATATTCTATTCTATAAATAATCTAACAATTTGTATAAAAATTTATGTTTATTTAAAACTTTTAATAAGAATTTATAAAATCATTAAAACTGAAATTACATTATTTAATGTAGTCTTATTATATATTTATATATATGTATATATTATTTTTAACAGGGCTTAAATGTATCACAGAGTATTAATGAGCGACCGGAAGACACAGTGAACATTAAAAATCTAATACATTGTTTTTTTTTTATGTACAATTAGCTATTTATATATGTATATAAATAATATTTATTTATTAAATGCAGATCATCGTAGTGCACGATATGTCGTTGCTTTTGCTTGTGTTGGCAACTAGAAAAATAAAATTTTTTCGTTTGCATGTTATAGCTTATAATAAGTTAAAATTTAACTTACTATTGGGCCAATGCGAGATAAATAACGATTCCTAATATTAATATCAGACTGTGGCTGTAATAAATCATCACCAGATAAATCTGATGTTGATCCAGCGGATAATAATTTTTCTCTTTCCGTGGTATTAATAGAAGGTTGACTTTCTTCATAAATTTCGCGTTGTTTTGGTGTCATGTTCAAATAACCGCCAGTTTTTGAAAAGTCTATCACCCATATCAACGTGCTGGTTATTAGTGAAACTATAAAATAATAAAATGATATTATATATTCTCGAAGGAAAAATAAATATATAATATTTTATCATAAACTCACTGCCTAACCAACCGAGGAAGAACATTTCTAGCATGAAATATCCACTTTCATCGACAATTGTACCAGACAGGCTATTGACAACAGCTAATCCCAAGTTTTGAACAGCTTGAGCACTGAAAAAAATATTGTAAATTTATTTTTTTATATTATTTTTTATAAATATAATTTTAAATGATAAATTTAATCATACAGTCCATAAGCAGTCCCCAGTTGATATTCTGGAATAACAAGTGCGATAAGCGGCCAGAGACTGCTAGCTAACATAGAATAAGATAATCCCATTGCTATCATACAAGTGTAAGGATCAACATATGTGAATGCTAATAAGCCATGTGCTATAATTGTTCCCACAATGCTGATAAACACCCAAAGCACATTCTTTCCGGTTTTATCAACTAAAAAACCGAATAGCGGTGATGCTATCGCTGAAATAGAATAAATCAATGAATTTGCAGTATTAGCAGCTGCTGGGCTGTACTGATACTTTCTTTCAAAGAATACTCTAAAAAAAAAAAAAAAAATCAATATTAATAAAAATTACTCAATCGGCACTTGATTATTCAATAGTTTAAATAACTTACTTTGCAAGTGCAATGAACGGAAATATTGCCATATAATACGCTATGCAAATAACAACAATCAACCAAAATATTCCTTCGAAGTCTTTAATATCCGTCAATCTTACAACTTTTGGTTCTTCATTATGACCTCTTCGTAATATTGTTTCTGTACGTTTATCCATGAGTCCAAGTAAACTAGCACATATCATGGAAAATACACATGTCAGTGAGGCAAGGAATAAAACGATACCGATACATTCTGGTCCAGAATAATCTTTAGCAACATAGTTGTATATAGGTTCCATCACCAAAAAGTTAACCGTTGATCCGACTCGAGCAAAACTCAGCTGTAGTCCAAAGACCATATTCAATTCTTTTCCTTTAAACCAAAGAACTGCATAACTGTTCTGAGCAACTGCCAGAGATTCAGCACCAATTCTATAAAAATAATTATATAATGTTGTTCAATTTTTAAAAGTTTCAAGACTCAAAAGAAAAAATTAATTGCAAGAAAATAAATAAATAAAATCATTACCCAAAGATAAGTCTACCAAGCATCATAAGCCAAAATTTATTAACTATAGCACCAGTTGCAAAGACAATTTGTCCTGCTAATGCTAATGCCATATATATAATCGTTCCCAATCTAATACCGAATATCCGATCAAGAAGAAATCCTCCGATGAAACAAAGAACAACATTTGGCCATGAATAAATTGAATATAGTAAAACGAATTTACTCGTTGACAAATCCAAATCATTTTTAAAATTATCTTGTAATGCTGAAGGATTGTCATAACAAAAATATGAACCTATGACAAAGAAAAAAATATAATTAATTAAATTATGTAGAATTATTATTTTTTTAAAATAGCAAAATTTACCAAAACCCAGAAGACACATTAGGGCTAAACCTAAAAATCTCCATAGTCGTCCTTTAGGATGACAGCAAACTTTTGAAGAATCATCTTCATAACTAGATGCACTAAGAGTAGTATCTGGAGTTTCCATTATTCCGCCTTCCATAATGCAATAGCTCGTTTTGACCTCGTTTACGTTTCTTTGTTGTCTAATGAACTCTGTTTTTTTTTTATATAAATATGGAATAAATGAATCTAACAACTGTCACAGTTTATTAATCATCATATTTTTTATTTTGTATTGATAAAAAACGCACAATATTTTTTTTTACAATCTATAATTGTAAAATAAAAAAATAAAAAATAAATTCTTCAGAATAAAATAATCTACTGCACTGGTTTTTAAAACAAAACTAAAGATTTGTCATCAATAGTAATTTTACACAATATGACACTTCTCATTACTCCATACGAAGTATAGTAATAACACGTATTTACATTCTAAATACATAATACAGTTAGTGCTACAACAAAGTAAATATTATTGTAAATAAAAAAATTTTTTACTCCATAAACCATCACAGGGTTAATAATTATTCCGCTGTTAGATTTTGTCGCTGGTCTCTTTTTTGTGCTGGTCTACCAATCAGCTTTTAATAAGACTAGAAATAATGTGCGCACGCAAGCTGCCCTCGGAACGAGTTCTTTATTTACTCGACCCGATTCAACCTAAAGTCCATTAGAAAAACATACTAGAACTAAAAACAACAAATTAAAGCTTATAAAACTAATGATTTTTTTATTAACAAAAATAATAATAATAATAATTATAAACAAATAATTTTTTTTATTAATGAAAAAAAAAAAAATTTCCATTTTGTGATGCTCCAATATTTAAGTTCAAAAGAACGCTCTATTTGGATCTAAAACAAAAAGAAAATTACGATGAAAATTAAGTTAGCCGACATTAAAAAATTTTTATAATTTTTTTTT